AATTTCATGTCATTAGCACCTCTAGTAATATATTTACTGAGAAAAATGGTGATGTGTTCAATACTTATTTTACCCGCTGTATTACCCAACTGAAAAACAAATAAACTGGACTTTATTTATACAGCGCCTTTCTATCCAACCAGAATACTCAAAGGGCTTTATACTAAAACCTGTGTCCTCATTTATCCATCCACACATATTCATTCAGCACTCTATGTCTCTATGAAGTTAACATGCACAAATCATCTATGGAGACTAATCAGYGCTTAAAATCACATTGATGGGACACATCAGGGGGTTCAGTGTSTTGTCCAGGGACACTTTGACATWTGACTGAATAGCGGGGATCAAACCACCAACTCGCTAAGTAGAGGATGACTCCCTTAACCACTCAGCTACAGCCGCCCCATATAGCAAATAAATAAGTGGGTCTAGAACTTTGGGTTTGCCTGTGGGGGACTCACAAATTCCTGAAAACCCTCAACTTTCCCAGGGTCTTATTTCAGGAACCACGAGTCCGATGCTCATCAGACTGGCATCATTCCTCCTCTCTGGAATTGCTTAAAACTAGCTCATCAGAGCTGTAAAATGAGCAAATTGGTTGAAAACATAGGCTACAAATTATGCATCAGCTGTGCACAGATTGTAGACTACATTTTATTTGCTTTTCAAAATATATGAAAGGGTTCCTCCACTGCATGGTCATGTCATCAGTTTCCAACGTTTAGGGGGCTCTATAGTATTCAATGAGAGCAACCTGAACTGGCAAAAGTTGAGGGGTACCCGCCGCGTTAGTATGTGACGCTGAGAGAGCCTGACCAAATGTCCATATATGACGACTTTGACAGAGCAGCACATGCTTCTGGATGTCACTGAAAATGGTTTGTTCCCAGAGCAGAAGCCGGTTGTTAAATTAGCTAGATGTGCTGCTGAAAGAAGCTCGTCTCGCCCTGTTGAGCATGTGAAAAAAAACAGAGTTTTTCTAATTACTCGTCCAACAGCACAAGCCTCTCTTTAAACGTCTGATAAATCAWGGAGTGACAAAACAACTACTGTTGTTTATATGGTTAGTTCTATGTGATGTATGGAGGGCAGAGGGAGAAATGATGATGGTTTGTCCTCTGCAACACAATGTGAGAAAATATTGACATTTTTGGGGAGGTTGTACATTAGCAAAAAATCTCTCAAAATTTACTCCTGCGCATAATGCAACACACCAACTTCATGGAAGATTTTTGGGGTTATTCTTTTTTTTTTTTGCATTGTACACAAACAAATATGGTAGTCTTACAGTTTTTCCAATTGCYAATGCACTAAAATGACATCCATAGCACAATAATTTTAACTGACACACAAAGAGTTAAACCTCTCAAGTCTCCAAAAGTCAAAACACATTTTCTGCTTTACGCACATTTTGCTATTCAAAACGTCACTTTTTTTAATAAACACAGCCTTCTGTATAAGACACAACAATCTGACATAAAGTCACATGTTTGCAATTTCAAAACACTGCCATTCAAAATGAATATACGAGCTAACTGGACAAAATATGTTCCATTGAGCTCCAACTTGAGCTGTTTTACTGTTGCAACTGTCATCCAGACATTTAGACTGGAATATGTAACCAAAATTTATTTTACACGATGTAGCACATCTCATACACTAACTACACAAGTTCCCTATACAATTTACTCTACTGTGGGGGAAAATCTTTAGGCTGCATTGTCCAAGCCCTGTATCTTTTTTTTCGTAAGCATATTTTTGTTCATTCCAATATAAATATATCGGTTGTGCATATTTTTGTACTGTCCTGTTTGGGGGAAAATAAAATGATTCAACAGCCTGTGTGTATCTGCAAATAGTTCTGTGCATGTGAACAATCTGAAGAATTGTCCACAAGTTGAACTTGAAACTAATTAAATTAGTATTATGGCAAGCATACTAGAGATGAGAGTGCTTTACATTATGCCCATGTGTTGGTTAGACATGTGCCACTTGTTGGAAAACCTTGATTTTAACAATTCAATACAGCGGGTAAAATAAGTATTGAACACATCAACATTTTTCTCAGTAAATATATTACTAGAGGTGCTAATG